GATTTTGGCCTGCTCTTCCTTTCCGCCTACTCTCAATGACTAATATTTACTTTGACCCGATGCCGTTTTGCCAGGTCGTTCATATGTTCCTTTGATCTGAATCCGATTAGCCAGAACCAACTTCTATATTATGGTCAGGGCCGTTACTTCCGCCCTTCCAATCACTTGACGCCGCCACCGTCCCCGTACAACCCATCTCTGCTCTGTCGATCTCTGTTTTTGCACCTCCAATGTGGGCAGTCACGACTGACGGATTAGCCCACTTGGAGGCGCGCGTGGCCTAGGTCCAACAACCCCACTGAACTTGCGGTCCGAGTGTGTTCAGCAATTTAGGGCAGTGATTAACTCTTCCACATGGCTAGTTTTTGTTGACGAATTGGTGTGTCAAGGCACCTTGCTGTCTGACCTCTGTAATTTCAAGGAAACTTGAAGCGTGGAATCCCTTAGCCGACACTCAATTGTTCACCTGCGCTCGGTTTGTCAACATTACCAGCCCCGATTAAGGAATTGAGATATAAGTCCGGGTGTAGTACGTCGTACGTTCCACCAGTTGGGTCACGGTCTCACTCTGTCGACTCCTATGACACCCTGCATTTCCACAAATTTTGCCGCAGTTACGCCTCTCAACATTTTTCCAACATGCAAATGCTGTGTGGCTTTCCCAGCTTTGGCCTTAGGTTTAAGATATCAACGAGCATTTCATTAACACCCCGTGATGCACACTCCGGATTCTGTCTCTTGCGGACCAGGAACCTATTGCCTCTTTGTCGTGGATCATTGCGATTTCCACGACAAGTTTCACGAAGAGATTATTTTGGCTAGAATTGGTTGGTGTTAGACGAGGTAGTTGTGCCGATTCCGGTGCTCTAAGTCCTACCCTTTGGCGTTTAGAGAAGTTTAACTTGTCGCTGATGATATTTAAGAACGTACAGTCAATGACCAATTTCATGAAATGTTAGCCGAAATTCTGAAATGCGTTTTCGATTAGAAAAGATAACTTAGGTGGGGTTGTAATGCCCTTTATCACGCGACATAATCCCATAGAATTTCGGACTCGCCCGGATGCTGGCTTTGAATGCATTTCTTTTCGATCTTCTGTAAAAACCGCACTCGGTGGAAAATGACTACGTAGACAGTATGCATTTCCCATATTGACCTTCGGCGGCTTATACATTTAAATATATATTACTGGAAACATGCCTTCTTCTGCTCTATTGGTAGCAAATCACCTCTTCCCATTTTATACTCGAATAAAGGTTATATTCAGGTTTTGAAGAAGTTTTCCAATTCCCGAATAATTATAAGCCAGATCAGCCGTTGCACTAGCGTTTAGCGATACCAGTCTACAAGGTGTACACTTTCTGCGTAAGGACGATCATATATTCCTCTATGCCTTTAAGAAGAATCCATGTAGTGTTCATAAGATTCTGCAAAGAATTCAGACTATGAGGAGCATTAGTTAACGGACAGGTACGATGCTGCATGAATGAAAATTGCACAGTCTTGAAAAATCTTATTATTAGAAACTTTTTTTTTAAAACCGAGAGCTACTCTTTCTTCGAGTATATAATTTGAAGATGACGTGATTTGCTACCAAATGAGTACAAGAAAGAATATTTTTGTGCAATATTCTATGAAATATGTCCGAATTTATAAGGCCATCGAAATTCGATGTGAAAAGTACACACTAGTTAAGTAGTCATTTTTTGCTTGGTAGGTTTTACAGGCCGCGAAGAAGTGCATTCAAAAGTCAACATTCTGGCAAGTCTGAAATGTCCTATGATTACGCCGCGTTAAAACCAATATTATAATTCAACCTAAGTACTCCTTCCTAATCGAAAACGCTTTTCAGAATTCCGGCCAACATTTCACGATGTCGGTCACTCACTCACCGAATGCTTTTTGTAATTTCCACGCAAAGGAAGAGCTGTTGCATAACTGTTAACCGCTAAGTAAATGCCGATCCCTCGCTTACGCACACTACCTCTTCCTAGAGACGTTAGCACACTTTTCCTCACAAGCAAGAACACAAAAAGGAGTTTGTTTCACTAGCCTGCCTATAACTTCGGCCAACCTTTCACGTATACCTCATCAGGTGGACCTGCTGTAGCCTCCGCGGTTTATATCCTTTCTGCCCTACATTAAAAAAGTTTCTTCAAGCTTGCTGCTTACGCGATTCCCATGGTGAAATCGTTTTCCCAGATTTAATTCCAGCCACTTCATAAACCCCTCCTATCGAACACAAACTTCGCCGCTCTCGCAATCTATCCTCATACTCTTTTTTTGCCACCGCTCACCTCCCTTCATCTTCCCTTTTGTAATTCAACTACAGGTGACAGACTACACCGTGACCTCATCTCGTGTTGACGGCTGTGACTACATGGAATCTGTAAAGCGGATCAAATGATGCACCCTTTCACTCTGACAGGGGCCGCCAACCCGCCACTCCCGTCAGCTTTGGCGGATGAATGCACGAAATGAATGCCCGATGGGTGGACGGCGTGCGCTCAAGGAGATTTCCAACTAATCATTCATCCCTTTTACCCGTCTTCTCTTACTTTCGCGATGACTAACTTCTCCCCTTCATGCGTCCTCCCTCCCTTTGTCTTGGCTGTGCCGATTATCACCGCAGTATCTAGGGCACAAGACGAGCGCCCTCTCCCGTCCGGCCAAAACTTTCCCACTTGTTACTCCCCCCGCTGCCTACACATCAATCTTGCACAGTTTTATTTTGAAAAAAATGTGAATCTCATGTAAGTTACCATAGGTTATGCCGTCTTTCGGCTTGTATTTTGCTTCCCGACTGGCTCCGCTACACGCCAACCTCGCAGCAAAGCCAATTTAATACAAAGTAATTGCGCAAAGTGTCGCCGTTGTTAGTTTTAGCCTTTCTCATAGGCCATGTACGAATTACATTTCCTCGTACCGTGAGATGTCACATCTCTCAGTTTCAGAGTTTTCCTTGGGGGAAGTCGTTTTATTGTGACCCCGGCCAGTTATTATAATTCAGCAAGCCGTCCCTCCTGTACCATCACTCATCTCTGCGCTACATTCGCATCAGTGGCTTCGTCTGTTGCATTCGACGAGCTCCGCCACTGCCTAGTGACGCAGTGACGACTTTGCGCAAATCAAATTGTTATGGGGCAGATTTGCGCGGCCTCAACCCCCCTACCCCTGTCCCTTTCTCGCTTTCTCACACCCACACGACAGTTTGAACGCCACAAACGACGTCCGCCGCACAACGGTGACTTGCGCAGCGCCTTCCGCTCTCCCTCTTCCCTAACTCACCTTACTTCAATGGCAAGACCAAGTCAAGACGACCGTAGGTGGGCGCGGGCACTCACACACCCATCATGTTTCGATGGTAAACTGATATTATGCTGACGATAGGGACGTAGGCAGAGTAGGAAGTCCACCAAAAGTAAGAGAGAGATACAATCGCTGGAACAAGTTTATTGATGTGACGTTTCGAATTCACACTCAAACTCGTTACCGGAGACAGTCGCAGGTTAGGGCCGTGATGATGGTTCTAAGTGAGAATCCGAAATGTCAGGTCAATAAACTCCTTGTTCCAGTCATTTTCATTCGAACGGCTTCCTGAAATCCGCGTCTTTGCTTCTCCCAGTGGAAATTCCCTGTCCACGTTACGCATTCTGGTTTCTCAGTCCGCATAAATCACAATTTAGCACTTCTTCATGCCATGTTTTTAGGGGGCTGGGATATTTTAAATGCGCGCTAGATTCCTTAAAGTGAGGAAAAGTTGTCCAGAACCGGCCTGACTTCCTCTTCTCTACCATCATGAACCAACAGAAAGACCGAGTCGCGCATGCCGTATAGAATTTCGACCGCGGTGTCCAATGCATGCCGCACGCCAGTTTTATCTGACACGACAGCGCAGCCTCTATCTTAAGGCCAACATTCTTGCATCCAATTGACATTTCGACCATCGCATCCGGCGATGTCCAGCGTATCCTCCACCGCAGGGTGAGAGCAGGGAAGGTGACTTGCGCGTGATTTATAGTGAGATTAGACTTGCGCTGCGTCTACCACACTCTCTCCTGCTCGCCCCTGGACTCGGTGTCAAGACAGAGTCAAGAAGACCTGACCGGAGACGAGGGAGGACGCAGCTGGATGGCACGGTCGAACTCACACCTTGGCTTTCCACTCCACACCCTCTGGTCCACACAGGTTTTTGACCAACAACAAAAAGAATGGAGGCTGGTACGGCCGAAGCTGCACCTAGGCGTGCCGTCACACCCTGCTCGGATCCCACGGAGTGGGAGTGCCATATAAAGGCCATATCAAGGAGCCATTGCAGCCTGACCCAGACCACCAACTGACCACTCCACTCAAACACACAGCACTGGGCAGACTGTCAGGTCCGAGTTATCCCGTCAGTTGGCAACCTTCCAAGCCACGGCTTTTAGCGTACCGTAATAGCTTCAGCTTGTCCGATTGTCTACAGTGAGGAAAATGCGCCGAGTCGTCGACCTCACTCCCTTCTCATGCCTCAGCCACTATCCGAGCCGGTGAGTTGACAGGTGCGGGGAATGTGCGCGGTGGCTGACATAGTCTAGTGACCTTGTCTGCGTGCGCCACATGCATGACCTGGCCCCCCAAACACAAGCACCAGGATTTCATACAGCGAGGGTTGAGCGGCGCACCTCTCACATGCGTGAGAGTGCCGTGGAAGGGGCTGTTTCAGCCCGGCTCCCAGCCCACCAGTCCGCCACTCCACACAAACATTCTAACAACTGGACGGACTGCGTGAACCGAGTTGGGGCGTCAGTCAGCAGCCTTCCAATCCGCGACGCTTGACGCGCCGGGATAGTCTCAGGCTCGAGTCACCCATGCAACAGAAGCCGTGCGGAGACCGAATTGAGACAAACACTTGCCACTTTCTCAAGAGGTGTCAATTGGATGTTTGTGGTGGGCGGTGCTGATATTCAAGGAGATGGTGGTGAGGGAGGCTGTGATGGTGTGGTACAGCCGTCGGTTGTCTACCTCAGGTTTTCGTGGATTCGCATGTGGCCGAATAGGCCCATGCGATGAATGAATGTGCGAGGGCAATGTGAACAGTGGAGGCGGGTGTAGGTTGGTGCACCAGCAACTGGTTCGCCAGTATCTATGCGGTGGATCCGCAAGTGACCGATGAGGCCGATGCGTGAGGTGAGGGTACAGGGACGGTGTGGACACGAGAAGTCGGTGGTGCCGGTGTCAGCTACGGAAATGGGGTGGTGGTGGGCGCACTGTGCGACGGTGTGGGTGGGGCTGAGCGTGGTGGGTGTGCAGTGGGCACTGCGTGTGATGGAACTAATGGCGGTGGGCGCGCAGGGCGAAGGAGCGAGGGAGGGGCTACGCATGGTAGGTGTGCTGGTTGTGTCGGGACTGCGGTCGATTTCACGCTCGTTGATACGCATGTGGCCGAATATTCTCATGCGATGCATGAATGTGCAAGAGCAGTTTGGACAGTGGAGGCGGGTGTAGGTTGGTGCTCCAGCAACTGGTTCGCCAGTTTGTGCGGTGGATTCGCAAGTGACCAACCAGGCCGATGTGGGAGGTGAAGGTGCGGTCGCAGTGAGAGCAGGCGTAGTCATGGTCTTCACTTAGGGTGTCGTTGGCAATGGTGTTGGTGTGTCAGGACTGTGTCATGTTGATGTGCGTGACAGAGGCCACAACGGCAGACATTGAAGCATTGGAGGAGGAGGGGGGTGGAAGTGGTGGTTAAGGGGGCGGTCCCAAGTTATTGACGGCGTAGAGGGCGAGAAAAAGTGGATGGAGGGACGACAGTTGGTGCAGTTGATCCGAAGGTGCCCAGCAAGTCCAATTGACGCCCGGGATGTTCGTTGACACCGTGAACACGTTAAAGGCGGTTGTGTGTTGGCATTGCGAGATGATCACAGCTGAGATTTGCGTGCTTCTCGTTTAGCTTTCGCGGCGGCAATGCGAATGGCTTCGTAGATCGCAGCGTCTGTTTTAAATGTCTTCCCGGTCGGTCGGTCGCGAGCGAGGTCGGCCCAGCTGGCTGGGTTGGTTTGCGGACACTTCAGGGAGGTCTTCAGAGTATCCTTGTATCGACGGATTTGGCCTCCCTGGCGGCGGGAACCAGTGGCGACGTCTCCATAGAAGAGTCGTTTCGGTAGCCGTTCGCCCATCCGCACGAGATGGTCGCTCCAGCATGGCGTAGATGCTGGGGAGCCCCGTCCTCTCTAGCACGTCAGTGTCAGGGATTCGGTCCTGCCACTTCAGCTTCAGTGTTCGGCGAAGACAGCTGAGGTCGAAGTGGTTGAGTCGGCGTGTCTGCTTCGTGTACACCTTCCAAGTCTGCTCCACAATAACGGCGAAAACCGCATTGGCTCCCCGACAGGAGACCTTGTTCTAGGTGGTTGTTCAGGCGGTTGAGAAGGATGCGAGCAAAGATTTTTCCGGCGATGTTCAGCAAGAAAATGCCTCGGTGGTTGTTGCAGAACCCGCGGTTCCTTTTCCGTTTGTATATATGCACGATTATGGAGTCTTTGAAGTCCTGCGGGACTTCTCCTTGACCCCACATCTCCTAGGAGAGCGCCATCAGATGATCGATGAGTTGGGAGCCCCCGTGCTTGTAAACCTCAGCCGGGATCGCGTCCAATCCGGGCGCTTTCCCGCTGGAGAGTTGCTGCACGGACCTGATGGTTTCGTAGGGAGAGGGCGGGAGGTCGAGGTCGACGTAGGTCTCCACTCGCAGCAGACTGGCAAGGGCGGCATCGGAGATGGTGGAGGGACGGTTTAGGATGCCTCGGAAGTGCTCGACTGATCGCTGTAGAATTTGTGTCTTCTCAGTGAGTAGGGTACGGCCGTCGGAGCTGAGATGAGGTGCAGTACCTTTAGTTGGCGGACAGTAGACAGCTTTGATCGCGGAGAAGAAGCTCTTACAGCCAAACCCCTCGTAGCTGCGCCATGCAGTGGCAAAACATCGACGAACCCCGCGTGTAAGGGTTTTTGGCTAGTACCTGTGCTGTTAGTATGGTATCATCTTAACCTAAAGTATACTACTAGCTGCCTGTCGGCAGTTAATGAATATTACGCGGTTACCCTCTGTGGCTGATGAACTTTGGCCCAAATATTCATGTATAAAATTCTCGGTCTGTGTCTATAGACCTTGAATAAACTGATCTACTCCAACTTCGTAGATAATTTCTGAGGAAATTAAGAAGCGACAGTTATCCTCTTCGTTGGCAACCCTCCGAGTCCTGCGACTGCTAGCACGTTCTATTTATACCGAGGAGCCGAAGTGCCGAGCCAGATTTCAATTGACTTCACTCTTCCCTTGCCTATGGGCTCGTCTGAGTCTGTCTGAGCAAGGATGAGGTTGGACGCGCTGGCTGATATGCCGCAAATGTGGCATGTACCGCTTCACATACGAGCGCAAACTTCACGTACGTGAGGAGTGCCATGAAGGCCGTGAACCCATCTCCGTTTCACTCGCTCCAGGGTGGAAATGGGCTTTTCCTCTGGCTGTCAAATTTGTAAGTCAGAAATTTTAAAATTTCCTGATATTCTCAAACACGTCAGATTTTTTACTGAAGGATGCACTGCTTCATTAACGATCTGCACCTCAGGATCGTCCTCAGTCATGCATCAGTGGTCTGTCGGCCAACCGGTAATGAGGTTTTGCGCGACGGCTGAGTTAGCGTAAGCCTCAGTTCATCTTATGCTGGACGCTTGTAGGCCAATAGTTTAGGGCTCATAGCAGCCCGACGAACGCACACCATGAGCCACTTCGGTCCACGTTTTGGTCTAACGCAACGACCACACAGCATCTCATGAAGGGGGGGGGACGTGCACACGCATGACAGTCCGTCCATCGCTAAAGCGAAGGCCGACACGTTGGGCAGCCCGAGACTAGGCGCGCAGGAGTTGCGCGCCTAGTTACCCACCAGCTCGGCTTGAGAGCTCTCTTTGCGACCTATAGGCGCTCCACATAAACGGACTTGAGTCACATTTGGTGCGCATCCGCAGTTGTTACGCGCGTTGTTGGAGTTTGCTACGCTCATGCCGGGACGTGCGTCATCAAACCAGGTCGAGCCCACATCTTCATCAGGATGCAGGGGACACACACCGACACACACACGCTTGTAATTGGCAAAATTGGGTTGGCAAGCGTGCAGCTCAAATTATTGTGAATAGGAACACGCTTATGATTCTGGTGTCATCGCTACAGAAGTGCTGATACAACGTGTATGTGTGTAACTTGATGACAATCGGTCAGCTAGTGGGAACGGTATCTCGCAAGACTTTCTGACCGTAATTCAATTCACCCACATGTCACCGCAACCCATCCCCCGGTGGTTGTTACGTTCTTTGAGTGGAATTTTGTCCCCAGCCATGTGTGCTACAGAATTTGTCATTCAATCCCAAAAGGATTTACCGTAACTTGTGAATTAGGTTGCAGACTACTTCATGTCCCGTGGTGATGGCCGAGGCAGTCAGAAAATAAAGCAACACAAAGCAGGTCGGCGGTACATCATCACCTAATAGAAGAACGTCGTACTGTAAGTCTCAAGCTCGTGCAGTCTGCTAACAAATGCTTTCTTTTTGACTTTTACCAGCGCTAAGGCCTGCCCTCGAATTGGATCAAGGCATGGGAGTGTAATTACCCTTGGCGTCAAACATTAAAAAAGCCTAAAGTCCATGACAAAGATGGGATCTCCCGATGGACACGTCAGTGTGTCAAAAAAGACCAGGATACAATGCCTTGTGATATGTGCTTGTGATGCGTTCCTGGCGCGAGATTAACAGCAGTGTGCAGTGACGCGCAGGTGTCGATGTGGCTTGTCGGCTCGCCGGTCCATCCTATGACCTGGAGAACAGATATGCAAAGTGCTAGAGCGGGTCACCTCCAGAGGAGAAGGCCATTAAAGTTTTTGGTTAACCAGAGTGAACACGGCAAAATGTGATGAATCGAAGTGTTATGCGATGCTGTAGATTGTGTCCTCGGACGGGACACTGTGACGACAAAAGATCGTGAATCGAATAATATATGAGCTTGGTCGGACACTTAGGAATCTGTCGCACTGAGACCGGGGAACCACTATAGAGAGCTCTGACGTGCATTACGTGACTTATCTCATGAGACGTAATGACAGAAACTGATATGAGAATCTTCGGACGCCTTAAGCGTTGCGCATGCTGCTCGCTCGCCCAGCTTCTTCAAAGAAACGTCACCTTGTGCAGAATGTGTCCATGCAATTTCATCAAGAAATATGTTCATAAATTTGAGCCAAAATGAACGTTGCGATATATTCCGGCAATTTTCTATGCTAATACCTGTCCTAGGCTTCGGTTACCCACCTGAGTGCGTCTTCCCTTGAGAGCAGAATAACTTATTCTCGAGAGTTTCTCTAAACAGAACCCCATCCGCTATCACTATTTCAGGACATTCGGGCATCGCGTAGGTTTATTCGGTTCCATGTGCCTTTATAAAAATGTTTAGCAAAAAAAAGCAGTCCGGACCCCCACCCGATCTACATGCACACAAACCTCAAGGCTGCGTATGAACCTGCTGCATAGCACACAGATAAACGCCACTTCTCCGTAACACACTATGTCGCACACCTGCAGCAAGCATGCGATCCACTTTTTCATCGCATGCATGGCCTCCGAAACGTCGAGTGTCAGGATACACAGAGTTAATCTAGGTAGGAAGCATGTAGTTCAATGTAACATGGTGCGCATAATAGGGAACAGCTCGTGTGTGTGTGGCGGGTGTGTCCAGAGGTGGGTTCATGTGACGGTCTTAATAGTTCGCTCACTTGCTTGCAGGTGTTGACTATAGTTAGCGTCCATTTGCTGGCACCCAACTCTCACATGTGGCTCCCCGAAGCTAGGCTCTGCCTAGCGGCCTCTATGGTCGGGGGAGCGCTTTGGTCCGGTGGCGGGAGGGAGTCCCCGGTCTTCAAAGGAGATGGCGGTCATCGACGGAGACGCGGCCAGCACACATTACGGCTGACGCCACAAGTGCACCGCGGCGCAGGTCGTGGCATCAGCTTTTCACGCGGCCCAAATAACCCCTATTATCATCGACACACACTCTCGAACTCGTATGTGCACTGAATCAAATCACCAGTTTCGTCGTCTGCCTCTCGATCGACACTATTACTTTGTTCTGTGCGTGGTGGGAGCTGTCGTTGACAGCCATCCTTCACGATGAACACCATCACTTCGTGTCTGGCGCAGCTGCCCATGCGCCAAGTGAACACCCAAACTCCTGCAAATGTAACATAAGCCATTTGTGTACCACCCCTCGGCAGATGCAACACACACCAATTGGACACCCCTTGAATTGCCGCACAAAAGTAGTTGCCACCATTGTCTCACTAAATCTCAGGTCGACTGGACGCAAGCAACACCAGCTCTGGCGTCTCCAGCAGCCGCTGCCGCCTGAGAGGAGAATTCGGGCACTGTATAAAATGAACCTCTCATTCTCGTGACGTCCGCCTTTCCCTACAACGCGGGATTTGGCCTGATAATTGTAGCTGTCTGAGTTCAGTCTATTCGTTTAGCCGATACATCTCACCATCGACGAAGACAATAACGACTTTAATTTTCGCCAGCAACTTCCTACTTTTTGTTTGACAGGAAGTTCTGCTCCAGCGGCTGTGGTATTCTACTCAGCCTGACGATAGCGACCGAACCACCTTGACTGTTAAATATTTGTACCGCGTGTGATTCAGCCCGCGGCTTGGCAACACCTCGAAGATAATCGATACTTTTTTATTCACCGACTGACAGTGGCCGCACATGGCTCAGATGCACGCTCACAGTCCGCGCTGACGGACAAATTTACTACACCACAGAATGGACAGGGTTGTTAAGCTGGAGTGAAGACACTTGGCGGAGTGCAGGATGGGATCAGCATAACCGTGTGTTTATGAATATGGCCAATGTCCCTTCCCTCCCGCCTGCCGACATACCCTCTGCCGATGCTCACAGCAGCATTCTCCCTCTTTCTGTGTCAGCGCCCTCCACGGCACCTTCTTGCAATTGTCCGCAGCACTGCACCCCTCACCGGTTGTTAAGCGGACATGACAGTGTCATTCCCCGTTCAGACGGATTGTTCGTCTGATGCCACCATACCCACTTCCCAGTATTTTATACTGTTTTATCATATCTTATG